CTCTCTCTCTCTCTCTCTCTCTCTCTCTCTCTCTCTCTCTCTCTCTCTCTCTCTCCCTCTTTGTTCCCCTTTCGCCTACCTACCGACCACGGCCCGTCGCCTCGACGTTTTTCGCTCCTCTTCCTCCACTTCACCTTCTACTCTTGCGGTCGTTTCGTCGCACACGACGTGCCGCCGCCGTCGTCGACTTTTCGCGCGCGTTGCGAGACAGGGAGATTAAAGGCTGACGCGCGCGCGGAACCCGACGATCCTTATCGCGTGCCGCGCCGCACGATGCGTAGAAACGCGCGCCGGGCTCGTCTTCTTTCTCATGGCCTGGCGGCGTTCACCAACGTGAATCGCACGCGACTTAACATTTGCGTTGATGCGTAGATCGATATCGGCGATCCGTTAAATGTCAGCGACGCATTCCACGGATAAATCGTCTGGCAGGCGAAAAAAACTGAGCATTGATCGCGCTTGAAGCAAAAATTTGTATCACTACTTACTTCAGTAAATTATGTAAGAGTTGGTATTTAAAATTATTCATTCTTTTCTTATTTGAGATTTTAAATAAAATTGAAATGTTTACTTTCTAGAGAACTTGGAATTTTTAGGAGATTTCTTTGTGAAATTTAATGAACCATAGGGAAATTTTTGAATTTTACCTTTGAAATTTAAATTCCGTCTCTTTCTGAAGATATTGTTTTTTAAATCTTTTTTTTCTTGATAATGTAAAATATATAATTGGTATTGACAATTAGTTAGCAATAAGTACAATATATGCATCCGCGTATATTCATGTATATTCTTATGTTTTACGAGTTTTTGTAAAAAGAAATCAAGATGACAGTAAAGGACAATGCTCAAAATAGAATAGCTGACTATTTTCTAGTGAGTCTTTTTTTATATTATCCTATAATTTTCGCGACTCCAATTGTAACCTGTGAAATCCCTGTCTTCTGCTAATTTTTAATATATATCTTTGTTTATGTTGCTTTTTTCTAATTTATTTCAAAATTGTATTTAAAAATTTTCTGATCTTATCTGAAATTTTGAACAAACATACTTAGAAAATCCGGCAATTCTCAATAAATTTTTTTATAAGATTTCAATAATTACTGTAAGAGTCGGTTTCATTGAAAAATTAAAATATCTGGTAATGATAACCAAATGTATTTTGTTTAACGTACTGATGTAATATTTAGTAAATATTATGTATCGAATGAAATGAGTGAGATTAATAATGAAACTTGATGCAAAACGATGAGATGAAACCCTGAAATAATATGTGTTTTCATTCGAGAAAATCAATCGAAACTCCTAATATCAAGACAACAATACTTTAGCATTATTCTTCTTTATGTAAAAAATTGTGGCAAAAATTATTTACTGTTGTTTTTAGTAGCAATAGCAATTCTTTTAATCGAAATTAACAATAATTTGATATTTAATATTAAAAATAAATAAATACAAGCAAAGTATACTGAAAACATTCTAACATAGCTGTTAAACGTATTTTGTTTAGTGTATTAATGCAATATTTAGTAAAAATTATTAAATATAATCAATCATTTAATAATACTTAAGAACAGTAAAATTGTTATAATTGGTTTCCATTATATTAAATTTTGATTGAAATTATTTCACCAAAGTTTTAGGAACTGTCATCTAACCATGACTATTCCTATCAGACTTTTTCGACATTTTATCGTTGTCTATTAAGATTTCCGTTAAAACTTATGTACTATATTTAATTCTTTGGTATCATTATATATATGTTTACATATGTTGCATTTTTGTTAACTAAATGAACAAAACTTTTTTGTCAACGTTATCAACTACATATATCTCACAAAGTCATGTAACTATCTTTCGCGCGGTATCCATCTCCATGAGCATAAACGCATTTAGCCAGCGCTCACCGCGCACAGCGAGTTTTAATTCTCATTTACCCCGAAACCGGAGGGGCGGAGACGCAGTCGAACCAGGCATCGATTAAAAAAAAGGAAGTGACACGGAAAGAGACAGATAGAAAGAAACCGAGAGCGAGAGAGAGAGAGACAGATAGAGCGGAGAAAAAGATCCACTGATATCCAAATCGGTTCCTGCTTCGACGCCGCTTCACGGTGGCTAGGCAATAAAACGGCCCTGAGAGAGACGGAGGCACGACGTGGCGCGCGACGAGGACGCGGCCGCAAGCGAGCGAAGCGTGCATGAGTGAGAGAGAGAAGGATGAGAATAGGAGACGACCGCACGTAGCCGCAGGCAAGGGCGCGCGTGAGCAGGCAAGCGAGCC